GGCTGAACGTAGGAAGAGTTTAGATAATAAATGTTAGAATGTATATTTTGAATAAACATTCCAACTTGTAATTATATAATTTTAGGGTGATTATATTTAATATAACTTATTTATATATACTATTAATAATTAAATACCTAATATTATCTTTATTTATATAGATAAAAATAATATATAAATCTATGTGTTCATATTAGGATATACTCCTATCTTGTTGAGGAAAGCGAATATAGTATCCGCTCTCCTCAGCAACGTCGGAGTTAGCGCACGAACTAGGGTTTCCCAAAATTTCATCAGAATTTTCATATTTTCACGAATATAGTTGACCATGTGCATTATTAAGTATTACAGTTGTTGTTCGTGCAGGCATTCATAACGCAGGAGGTATCGTCATGCAAGGTAGAGTTAATGGCAATCTCAATCTCACTCGTGCGATTGGGGATTTGAGGTAATCCACTATCACCACTATGTTTGCTCTCCTCAGCTGAGTCCGAGAGTTTCCTCACTAACTGGAGATTTTACATACCAATTCGGGTAGAATGTACAGACTAATGAGAATTCCCCAAGATTTCCCTTCTTCGGAAATTTCATATTCTCACCATGTGCATATTTTCCCACACTATCGAAGGTCAGCTATTGTTTATTTAGTTACAAACAAGATCATAACTTGAAACCTGAGGAGCAAATGATCACTGCTAACCCTGATGTGTCTACTATACCCATAACAGATGAGGATCAGTTCTTGGTAGGATGCTATTGTTGACTTACATGCTGATACGACCCGTAAGGTACTTGGTTGTGATGGTATCTGGGAAATTCTGGATATAGATGGGGTTGTCGAATATGTGAGTTCATTGCAGTTATCGGGAAGTCTCGCAGCATGGTGTCGCGGTAGGTCCGACCGTTGGTACGGAGGGCTAGGGTTCTTCGGAAGGAAGGCCATGTTGATGATGAGGACTCCAAACTGAGCACAGTAGTGAGGAAGGTGTTCGCTCTTGCTCGCTTTTCTTGGTATGAATTTTTACCAAAAATTTTTAGTGAAGACTCAAAATTATCGAGACTAATCAATAGTTTATACCGAAAAAAATGTAATGCCCTTGTTATTATGCCCGTACCATTCTGAAGATCGTAATAGTAGTCATCGATCATAATAGTAGTAGTCGATCATAATAGTAGTCATCGATCATAATAGTAGTCATCAATCATAATAGTAGTCATCGATCATAATAGTAGTAGCCATCGATCATAATAGTAGTCATCAATCATAATAGTAGTCATCGATCATAATAGTAGTAGTCATCGATCATAATAGTAGTCATCAATCATAATAGTAGTCATCGATCATAATAGTAGTAGTCATCGATCATAATAGTAGTAGTCATCGATCATAATAGTAGTCATCAATCATAATAGTAGTAGTCATCGATCATAATAGTGGTCATCTGGACTTTGTTTAGGTTACTTCTCAGCTGTTGGACGCGGTGTTAAGCCCCAATGTATCTAATAGTTACGGACTCGGTTGTGATAACATGAGCTGTGTAAGTGTCCTAAGCCGGATTCGAACCTGCGCGGGTTGTGAGGCTGGGGGTTCTCTCAGATAATTGTTGATCTACGCCCTACTGACCCAGACTCCCTTCCTGATACCGCATTGCCGGAGCCTGGCCCTGCAATGGTAGCAGTTTATGAGGAGCCGGAGAGCAACCTCGGCGATCTTCCAGATGAGGAGACACGCGAGGGCTATCATTCAGTATTTCACACCATTAGAAATCTGATAAGCATTTCTTGCCGTTTTCAGAGCGATTGTATAATAACAGAAGAGCTGGGCGAAGCGAAGGCGGTAAGGAGTTTCTGAGGACGTCCGTAGTTTATATCAGATGTTATTTCAGGTTGCTGAGGTCATCTCGAAGACTTCGTCATAGTTATGTTTGAACAACTGTGTGATCGAGTGTCTGTTGTCGCAGGAACTCGATTACTAGTAAAGTTGTCTACATTCTTCGCTGTTATTGAAAATGATTCTCAATAAGTGACTGATGTCAGTATATTTTCCGATAGCATCGTTATTACCATCGTAGAGATTGATCATACATTCCTTGAAGTACCATAGCCTTTCTGTTGTTGTTCACTGCTAGCATATCATCATTTACCTGGGCCGACTTGTGCATTTTTCCAGTCTCTACTCAGGCGTCATCCATGTAGTTGATGTATGCTACTACTATTGGTATCGCTTTGTATAGTAGTATCACTCGAACAGTTCTATCATAGCAGGTAATTTGCCACTGAGCACGGTATTGATGCTGACGGCGAGACCGGTGAGCTATGAATCATTTCAAGAGGAGAACACGTGAAAGCTGATAGATTAGTAATTGTCTGTGTGAACAATAAAAGAAACCTTTCAATCATCAGTGCAGCTTCTGCAATATCGATGGTATTTGAGTTTCAACAGTCAATATTCGCACACAGGTAGAGACTATGAGCTATTCTGAAGGCCTGTCTAGAAAGGATAAGACTTTTGCTATTACTATGTTGAATACTCTGTACCAATACGCAAATAAGATTCGCAAAGATTTCAAAAGCTAGAACATCGAGAGAGGTCATTACTATTAAGTAGCTAGGGGTTTTAACTCCTATAGCTAGCACAGAAAGACGTTAGCGTGTCCCATTAGCTTTCTGTCAATTCCCGAGCGAACGAACTGGAAGTGACTGGAATCTAACCTCAGTGATTCGCAAGGAGAGTGCAAGGCTTTCATATAGTATATATGAGTCAGCTTTCACGAGTATCAGTATCGTACATTGGAATACTCTTACTCTCCGACTTTTAATCGGCCCTTCCTAGCGCTAGACTCCAGCGATGCTAGCTCTTGTGCTAATGCTATGTTTAATGTGTTTAAAATAGTTATACTGTATAGTGAAATCTTTCTTCCTTTTAGTTTCGGAAAGTATAAACGATGATTACGTTTCTTGTTTTTCGATAGTTGCCTTTTACCAATGTATTGCTCAGCTTTCACGGTCTTCATCGTCGTGTTGTCGATTGTAATGCTCGTGGCCCGAGCTAATATGCTACGTGGATTAGACTCTAGTTGTGTTACTACTGGTGATGCGTTTTGCCAAGACTCTCGAGTCCAAGGTGCAGTTTCTTATTGTATGACGAACTCTCATGTGTGCCACGGTGGGTCTATACCCTGCAGCTGTTCAATCCCGGCTCAACAGCAACTGCAGAACTATTTAGGTGGGCCCAGTTCTTCGACAAGGTCGGTTGCTCCAAAGACCAACCCTGCAGTTCCTGCTACGACGTCTGTTGCTCACAACTCTGTCCCTCCAGCTCCACCGACTACTGTTGGCAACTCCTTCATGTGGGTTGAATTCCCGGAGATCTATGATGCCAACGCGTTGGGTACTTATTATGATAAGCTCTACAA